AGACCCGTACGATCGTCCTGATGGTGTTTTGACAAGGCATTACTGAGTTCATTTTCTTCCTTTATTCCTATCTGGTTATCCTAAGATCCTTGATTTGCAACAAGGCGAGGCAGGAAATGTGATCTTGATAAATATTTATAGGTGTCAGCCATTTTATAGTTCAGTATTATTCCTGGAAAAAAATACAAGGACCTTTTCTCAGTATCTTCTGTCAGATGGACAGGTTCTCTGCCTTTGGAGTCTTGTTCATGTGGCTCTGTGGCACCTCTGAGCTGGGAGCGTGTTCCCAGGACAGCTAAAAGTCGCTGCTCTGGGCAGTTATTCCAGAGGAGTCAGCAAGGAATGACCCTGATCTCATCTTCTTGCAGAAAACGCTGCTCAAAGTAGTCTCGGTTAACTGGGTTTAACGCTGCTTTATTATTATTATTTATTTTTTTAAGGACAACTGTATCTTTTTATCTTTAGGAAAGATTGCGGTAGGTGTGCCAAAGTAAAATTGAACAGCCAGTGAAAGCCCGCTGAAAGGCGCAGCATGGAGACAGGAATTGTTGTTGCGCTTCTAGAAGAGTTGGTCGTTCCTGTAGAAACAAAAGCAAACTCTTCTGGCTGGGCTGCGTGGCTTTGAGAGGTGAGTCTGCAGGAGAGAGTCGATCATCTTCTCTTTCTCAGGGTAGGCTCAGTGTTGTCTTCTCCATTGCTGGGCTTGGTAGAAACCAGTCGCCCGCACTTAGCAAAGCCTCAAAGACCCGGCCAGAGCCACCCTGTTACTTGTATCTGAAGCTGCTGTGGCCCTGATGCTTCCCTTGTCCGGGGGACAGAGCTAAAACGAATGCCTGGATGGCTGTTGGCTGTCCATAACGGGGGTACCACCAGGCGGCCACCACCCCTCCACCCCCAAATTTAATTTCAACTTTCCCAGAAAAGCAGCTGCTGTCTAAGCGAGGCTGTTTAAAGCCCACCTTCCCTTGTCCGGGGGACAGAGCTAAAACGAATGTCTGGATGGCTGTTGGCTGTCCATAATGGGGGTACCACCAGGTGGCCACCACCCCTCTACCCCCAAATTTATATTTCAACTTTCCCAGAAAAGCAGCCGCTGTCTAAGCGAGGCTGTTTAAAGCCCACTGTAATGTGAGAGGGGACCCTGGAAATGGGAGTTGGACTCAGGTGAACAGGCTGGTGACGGTGGTGAGAAGGTCTGGTATGCCACAGGGTGGCCCAGGTGGGCGTTGGGATGCTCTGGGGTCTGGGAGGTAGCGGCACGCTCATAGCCTGGTGCCACCATCGAGCTGCCGTGCTGGATCAAACCCTGCTTTGCCTCCCTGGCTCGGTTGTTCTGCTGCGTTGATGGGCTCTGCGTCCGTGGCCTTTGCTGTGAAGATCTGCAGCTCTGAACTAGAGGTGTGACTTGTTTGAGCTGTGGATGCCTCGTCCCGTCCCCTATATCAGAGAAGTGCTTCAGAGGGGGTTCATTGCCTTGGGAGGCTGTGGGGCAGCGCTCGTCTGGGTGGCTTTATACAGGTGAGCGGGCTTGCAGGAGGAGCTGCAGGGGTCTCGGCGCTGTACGCGCTGAACCTCGCTGTCTGTTGTTATTAGGTGACTTATTCAAGGAGGTTTTGGTCCACCGGATTTGTAGAACGGTGCTTGGGATTTCCAGTGGGGATATTTGAACGGGGAATCCTCTGAAGGCGCTGATGCCAGCTTGTGTATTTCCAAGCTGTTGGCCTCGTAAGCGCAAGAACTTTGTGGAGAACAGAGTAATTCCTTGAGGCTCTTGGTACACGCACCCCATTTTCTGTACAGTGCAAGCTGGGCAGGTGGGGCTCACGGTCTGTACACTCGCCACTCGGGGACATCTCTGGAGAACTTCAGTTGACCTTTTTTTTGTTTCCCAGATGAAGCAGGGAGCCTTTAAGTGGGTTATTTTGTGGTAGTTGTCAGCTGTGCTACGTGACTCATCTTGTTTTCCTGCGGCTTTTTCTCTGTTGAGAGGCAGCTGTGCCAGTCTGGGAAATGGGCTTGGGAAGACACCACAGCTCTCTTTTGCCCTCTCTTGCTTTTAGATGATGGGGTAGAGAGTAATTGGTTGAATTCCTTACTTCTCCCCATCTGAAGACATCTTTGCCCTGGTGGTGTCTACAATCTGAAAATGCCAAATGAAATCTTAAACGTTATCCTTCTGTATGGGAGTTTTAATATTCCTCTTCCCCCTCCCACCTTTCAATTTAGACTGGATTTGGGGTTTTGTCTCTTTTTTTTTTTTTTTTTTTTTTTTTTTTTTTTTTTTTTTTTTTTTTTCCTTCTTGAGGACTGTAAGCACTTAGTGTCTTGCAGAGCCATGATTAGATTTACTCCCCTGCCCAGGTCTGAAAAGCCAGCCTCCCTGCTTCGTGTCTCCGTGTGTGCGCCCTTGGAAACTTTCTGTGGCATGGTGCTGGAGGAAGGGCATGCGTGGGGCACCTTGTGTAGCATGGGTTGCGAGGAGTATGTGAGCTCAGGCGTCCCCTGCAGAGCCCGCGGGGGTGTAAGTGGCTCTGTGCTGTGGATTGCCAAGTGAATGATTTGTGATTGCTGAAGGCTGGTGTAAGTGGCTCTGTGCTGTGGATTGCCAAGTGCATGATTTGTGATTGCTGAAGGGTTCCCGATTCAGGTGAGAAATGGGCTACCGAGGACTTCAGTCTCCTACTGCCCTCTCGTAGATTTTCTGTGCTCCGCTTCTCTTTGGTTTGCTGCTGGCTGGCAGCCGCTTACCGAGATTGCCCAGCATGCGTGTTAGCTGGCTGGCAGCACCTTACCCTTCTCCTTTTCTGACCAGCAATAGATGTTGCACAAGACTGTTTTAAAAGGTCTTCGGAGCTGGGATGTCGGGGAGTTCATCTGCACGCCTCCCTGCTGCTTTACAGCTTGTTGTGCCGCTCTGCTCTCTGCCCCCTCCCAACGCAGGGCGCCGCCGCGGCTGCGTCCCCCCGGCGTGCCGTCTCCCTGGACGCAGCAGGTAGAGGCAGGCCCTAGGTGCAGAAGGAAGGGCTGTCGGTGGCGTCCTTCCCTCCTTCACGTGCATCGGTTGTGCCCTTCCCTCCTCCATTGCTTAAACAGAAAGGTTGTGCGCAGCAGGTAGTCTGGTGGCTTCTTGTAGGGGCGTCGCGGTAAAATCGTGGTGACCAAGCCTGCTGGAGGTGCCTGTGTGACTTGGTGGGTATCAGACAGCTCCAGGAGGTGCATTTGTAATGGCCGGGCTCCGTGTAGAAAACTTACTGCTCTGTCTCCAGTTTGCTTATAGCAGAGGAGGGGCTCTTCTCCCGAGCTTGGTCTGGATCGCAGCTGCGTCGGCGTGGGAAGGTGCTGTGCAGAAGAGCTCGAAGCCTGCAGACGAGGGGGCTGTCAGCTAGCAGCTTGCAGCAGCCCTTCCCGGTCCGCTCGTGTGACAGCGATTCCCCTTGAGCATGGATTTGGTTTTTAGAACTGAAAAAAACCACCCAAGCAGAGAGCATCGTAGCAGTGTAAAGCTCTAGGTCTCCAGGGCCATGGAGAGCCTTTGGGACTGAGAGTAGCACGGAAGGTTTCTTAAGGGAGTTACAAACCCAGTATTCATGGTGCAAAGTAGTGTCACCTGGATTTGCTGAGGGTGCTTTTGCGCAGTGGGTAATCGTCTGCAAGGCACCTTTGATCACTGAAATTTAACAGGATGTTTCTTGGAGAAACTCAGGGAATTTTTGCCCTTTCAGCGTTTGGTGGCTTAGAAAGAAAAATATATGGAGTAATTACTGAAGGATTCTCTTGGTGTTGACTTGGAGCAGGGGCCTTGGTGCTTGCACAAGCAAAGGAATGAAGCTTGGGCTGAATTGCACAGAAAAACTTGTTCTGTGTTGATTACTCTGTCAAGAAAATGGCTTGATTTCCTTGGATAAGGTTTAAGAGACCTTTGTCTTGTTTCTCCCTCGGTGCATTTCAACACCTTCAGACTGCTTGCAAGGGGCTTTAAGAACCCTGTTTTTAAAGGAGCAAGTGTTAGTGGGGGTTTTAAAGGTTCTTTTCAGATCAGAGGTTTATTTTCTTGGCAGCGGATGGTGGAACTGGGGGGAGGAACTGGGGGGAATGACATGACAGAGGCTTTGCTTGGGAGCATGGAGCCCTTGTGTGTTCCCTTCAGACGGACCCGGCCAAGCCTCCTCGCTCTGTAGGTTAACGCTTTTCTGTAGGCCCCCGCGTTACGCTGCCCCACACCCTTGGTCTGCCCTCCTAACTGTGAAGAGACCGTCTTGTGACCAAAATTTTGGGAATGTACATCCACACTGCGCATCACTTTCCATGGGCTGGAGCAGGTTAAACAGACGGTGGAGCGGTTTGGCTGAGTTTGTTTCACCTGAAGGGAGGCTGCGAGCCCTGATTTGGGATCTTCCCAAGCCCTCATTTGGTACTGTGCTCTGCTTTTTGGGCCCTCCTGCCCCCGTCCCCACCCCTGGCAATGTGGGGGTTGGATGCTTTGCTGCTTCCATCTCCCTGGTCCCAGCCCTCCTGCCCTTCCTGCCGCCTTCTTCATGGGATCCACCTGGGACTCACTTCAGCTCTGCTGGGGGTCTCCCATGTTCACCTTCTCCTCTCCCTCTTCCTTCTGCTTTCTTCAAACAGCAAAATATCGTCATGGCAAGTCCTGGATTTGGGGAAAAGTTAACATCTAGGTGCTAGTGTTGATTTACTTTGCTTCCTGAACATTTCTGGTTTCCAGGAACGACCCCATCTGGACGTGAACGGCCGGAGCTGGGGAAGGGTTGTACCCGCGCTGGCTGGGTCCTCCCTGCGAGGCTTGCTTGGGTATTAGCTCAAGGAACAGCTCGTTAGCTTTTTGCTTCCACTGACATTTGTGGTTTTCTCCCTGAAGTTAGTGTTTTGGTGACGTGTGTTTTGTTTTGGGGTTTTGTTGTTTGTTTGTTTGTTTGTTTGTTTTTTTCTAAAAAGGGGAAAAACTAAGAAATGCTCAATTTTCCTTCTTCCTCCCCCACCAGGATTTTCCTCGTATAATGGAGGAGGGATGAACGGCACAAGCACAATGATGGATTTCCTGGAGGAACCTCTTCCTGGTGTGGGTACCTATGAAGATTTTAACACGATAGATTGGGTGCGAGAGAAATCCAGGGACCGGGACAGGCACAGAGAGGTAAAATTTCTTAATACTCCTTGCTGGCACTGGAGGCAGAGCAATTAACTTGCTCCAGCTACTCTTAGTTCTGATTGCCGGGCTGGGGAGGCGCTTACTCAAGAGTCACCTGGGATGGAGGGATTGCCCTTGGGATGGGAATTGAGGGCCTCTCCGCAGGATCTTTAGTTTGAGGAAAAGGAATGCTCCATCAAACGTGTTGCAGTTTATCAATTGCTACTTCTCTTCTGAAGGCTTTTACTCATTTAAAAAGCTTTAGTGGCTTTCCAGTACACACCCTGTGTGCCTTAAGGGCATGTTTTCCTGTGCCACGTTACACTTGCTCTCGAGACTGAAGCACAGCAAAGCCTGCAGTCCTGCTCATGGAGGGTGCATGTGTTGTCTGGAAGAATTACGTTGCCGTTGCATGGTTTATAATGGAAAACTCTAAGCATCTGTGATCCTGTTTATCGGTGAAGGAACGGGCCATTTTCTGCTCACACAATTGCACTTGTGAATGACGCTCTTTCTGTTGGAATTTTTTGTGCTGCGTGTTTGAGAAAACCAAGTGCAATTCTTCCAGAATTCATTCCCAGGACTTCACCGCTCTCTGCAATTACAGGAATCTGCTTAGAAAGCAAGGGATGCTTTAAATAAAGTACTGCTGTCCCCAGCACGCTCCTGATCCGCAAGAAATCCTTGCTGGCAGAGCTGTTGTGGGGTGATAACTGAACTCAACTTTTCTAGTTGCTTGCCAAAATATTCTTTAATTATTTTGTTTTCCCTGAGCCTCACAAAACAACTTGTGTTTTACCAACGGAGGGCAGTCCCCGCTCAGTCTGTGGGTACATACAATACAGTAGAACGCCTGAACTTGAGCAAGTGCAGACCCAATGGTGGGGCTCCATGCCCCCGCTGCCTCCTGCCCCAAAAACTGTTCCCGTCTATGGATTAAGAGTACAAACCCAAAAGATCTCTCGCACACGTGCCCCCACGCACAGTGCATGTATACAAAGATGACGCCCATCAGCGTGGAACAGGGCTATCTATTTCCTATTTGCAGAGAGATGCTTGTATAAAAAGACCCCTTCTGTCTTCACCGAAAGAAGCTGAAATGGGGTCAAGGCAGAAGTTACTGCTGGCCAAAGAGGTGTAGAGTTGGTCCAACGAAAAGAAATACAAAGGAAATAGTTTTGGCACCCACCCCAAGCCCTGCCTTGATTCACTAGCCACTCTACTCATGATCTGTGTGGCATCTGCAAGACGGAAATGCGGAGAAAATAACCAAACAACGCTCATTCAGGCAGAGAGGATTCGTACTTTATTTATCCCTCATTTAGTGAGTATTAGTTGTTTGCATCAATGTGCCTTTTTATCTGGGAATAATAGTGGTGCACTGGAATGCTTCCCTTGGGAGAGGCGGCTGGGGTAATGGGGACACGCAGTAGCTGTTCTGTCACCCTTTTGTCCGCCTGTCAGGAGCAGTGGGACTGACAGGCTTCAGCCATCCCTGCCAGACGCAGGCAGACCGGGAGCTCGCCCTCCTGGGGCATCTTGGTCGGGTTTGAGTCCCGCTTCCCAGTGCCCCCAGCACAGCCTGGTTCCCAACCTGACCACTCCTCTGTGTTGGTACTAAACCCATGCCCCCGCTCCGTGTTCGGCTGAGCAGTGCTTGGCAGGGTCTCCTCCGCTCAGAGCGGTGCCTGGTTTGTATTGAGATGTGGAGGCAGTAGCTGGAGACGACAAAATGCTGGGGACAGCTTCTCTTTGCTCCCAGTAGTGGGTGTTGGTGGGGGTAAACTGCTGGGGGCAAAGGGCTTGCATGGTTTCTTCGGTGTTCAGCTTTGCTTGTGGCATCAGGACGTTGGTAACTTGCTATTACTGACAGGTAAGGGCTTGAAAAGGTCAAGGGATGAATCTCGTCTTGGGTTTATGGAGAAGACACCTAGGAGGAGGAGGAAAGCGTTCCTTGAATACTTTCTTTTCTGCTGGGAATAATGGAAGTATTGATCCATTCTTGTGCCTCTCCTAAGCAGAGCTGCGTTTGCTCTACCAGCTGTAAGAGCAGGCACTGCCTGATTCTTTTTCTCTCTCCCCTCAAAGCAGAATACGTCATGACAGCTCTTGTTTTGGGTGTTAGGGGCTATCTTCCACTACCAACCTCACCGCTGAGTTTTTAGAGCACTTGCACCAAAGCAGATCAGGGCCTTAAGGATTGTTGTTTCTTTTTTCAAAAACTTTTCTAGATCACCAGTAGAAGTAAGGAGTCCACGTGGGCCCTGATACACAGCGTGAGCGATGCCTTTTCTGGCTGGCTGTTGATGCTCCTCATTGGGTTGTTGGCAGGTAAGAGCAAACTTCAACTGGAAACCAACTCCTGGTTCTGTGCCGCAGCTTCAGGATCGATTCCCCCCACAACCCCTGGCAGATCTCTGGAGGAGGAGACTGTCCCTGGAGCAAGGGCTGTGCGAGGGGCTGCACTGATACTGATGGCTCTGCTGCTGCTTTGCAATTTAGAGAGAATTATTTTTAAATGCTTTGAGGCCATGGTTGTGTAAATACCCAGATGCAAAACTTCATCAAAGCAGAGCTGACCGAAATGTGGGGTTGGAGGAGAGTGTCATGCTGTGCGTGCTGTACGTCGTCTTTGCTGAATGCTCTTCCTTGATGCTGGAGAGGTTAATGCCAAGGGCTGCTAGCAAGATGGTTTTGGTTTGGGTTTTTTTGATATAAAAAGTGAGAGGTGTTTCTTGGGAAGCCAGGCTTCTTTCAGAGGCTGACTGGCTGAGACCTTTTAAATGACTTCAGAAGCAAACTTTGGACCCAGTGCAGCAGAACTCAATCCCTTGGATACAGATCTTCCTGATAGAAAGCAGCCAGGCTTTCATCACAAGGAATGAAATTAAATCCTCTGTTAATATTTACAGAGGAAAGCTGCTAGCCAGTTTTTCATTAACTGGAAGGCTTGCTAAATATTTATTGCTACCTCTGGAGCTCGTGCTAGCACTTGCTCGTACAGATCAGAGGTCTCTGATCCTGCCCTCTGTGTTGATGTGGCATTTCAGCTGAGGCCAGAGCCAATTGCAGCATTTATCTTTGGGGACTGTAGGAGTTAGAGTTATCTTAAAAGAATAGTAAGAAATTGCTTGAAGATCACTCTTTTAAATCTGAATTACCTTCTGCACTGGCTTTCTGCTTCCTTTGTTTCACTTGGCCCAGTTGCAACTTTCCCCTCTTTTTTTTTTTTTTTTTTTTTTTTTTTTTTTTTTTAATGGGAATTGGAAATGCTTTCTCCAAATGCAGTTATTCCTGTGTTGCAGTCTTGGCATTAGTGTGACTCCTGGACTCCAGCTCTTGTGCTGGAGACTGATGACACATTTTTGTCTGCGTCCTCCAGAAATGCAGTACATCCCCCTGCCTCTCGGGCTGCTGGCTCTTGCTATATTTAATAAGTGCTTTTGAATTGAGAAGGATTAATTTCTAGGGATGTAGGGTGGGTTCAGATGCCCTTTGCGGTGGTTGGCTTTTGAAATGTTGTCAGGCGTGCTTTGTTTCCTGACCTACTCTTTTCAATACATTTACTTAAGCAAATCTTCCCCTTTAGCCCTCTATAGAATAAAAGTTAATTGTAGACAAAAATACCAGTAGTGCTCTGCTTGTTTGGTAGGTGAGTCAAAAACTAGTAGTGCAGACTGTAACCTTCAGATACTTGAGTCTGCATGGGGCGAGTATTAATTTTTTTTTTTTTTTAACTTCTTTGACCTAGGTTCCTTAGCGGGTCTGATCGACATTTCTGCCCACTGGATGACAGATCTGAAAGAAGGAGTGTGTTTAGCAGGCTTCTGGTTCAACCACGAGCACTGCTGCTGGAAATCCAACACCGCCTTTACAGACAGAGACAAGTGTCCCGAGTGGAAGAGCTGGTCCCAGCTGATCCTTGGCGATGGAGAGGTGACACGCGCCTACAACTGCTTCTGCTGCCGAATGTCCCATTGCCCCGGCCCGCGTGGTCCCTTGCTAGTGCTCTGGATGTATGTGCCAGAAGCGCAAGCTCTGGGTGGTTTAACATTCACTGCGGGGGTCTTCCAAGGGTGTAAATACGCTCAAACAAGTTACTTAGGTGCTGTCCTCGGAGGGGAAGCAAAGCATCGGCGCATTTACAAGTGCAGTGTTTCGGTCACGCGTCTGAGACTTGCTGCTGGGAGGGTATTTTGCCCACAAACATTTCAGCAGAATGCCAGGCGAGCTCAAGTCTTGTGTTCCTGGCAGCTCTGTCCAGTGGAGCAGCCCGCTCGACTGGGACAACACTTACCCCCGTACTGAGCTACTCGCGTACCTTCTTTGCTATTTTATATGAGGGTCTTTGGAGAGATGACTGGCTCATATCCCCGTAACCCAGCAAGCGTAACTTGCCCTGGAAGCCTCAGCCTTACCGCAGTCCTCTCTGGATTTGGCTGATAGCTGTATGTGAGATTACCCACTCTGTGTGTGCTTGTTCAGTGCGCAGGTTTGATGTCATCGTGGTTGAAATGAGCTAATTTGGGTAACTTTCTCTGCGTTTCAGGGGGCTTTTGCCTATATTCTCAACTACTTCATGTACGTTATCTGGGCCTTGTTATTCTCCCTTCTTGCTGTGTTACTTGTGAAGGGGTTTGCTCCTTATGCCTGTGGCTCAGGGATCCCAGAGGTGAGTGAGAAAGCAAGCGGGTTGGGTTTTTTTAAGGTGGGGTAGGGCTCCACCATCCAAAGATTAGGCATGCCTGCTATGGAATAATAATTTATTGCACTTTAGATGGTGGCTTAACATATGGGTTTTTTCCAAACTATTCCTGAAATATGTCTGATGTATTTGAGTCTCCACGCAGCCCCTTTAAAAACTAAAATATTTTGGTGTTTACTGCAGGAGGTACAAACAAAAGCATTTCTAAGTGTGAGTTTGTGTAAGATGGGCTGCAAAAGCTAGCCTCAGGTTTTTCTTCAGCAGGGAGAGTAGCCCTGAGGGAAGGACTCAAATGGCTGATTCCGCCTGCAAAGGGATATTTTTACCGACTCTGCATTACTGTTGATAGCTGGGGAGGGACTCTGAAAGCTGGAGGGGAAAGTCGAGGGCAGGACTGGGAGCGCCTAGCAAAACAGGAGCTCTGACCAGGGCTTGAATGAAAGCATGTAGAGCTTTGTGTGCTTGACTTCCAGATCAAAACTATCTTAAGTGGTTTCATCATTAGAGGCTACCTGGGCAAGTGGACGCTGATCATCAAAACCATCACCTTAGTGTTGGCGGTGTCCTCTGGGCTGAGCCTGGGCAAAGAGGGGCCCCTGGTGCATGTCGCCTGCTGCTGCGGAAACATCTTGTGTCATCTCTTCACCAAATACAGGAAGAACGAAGCGAAGCGCAGGGAGGTACGGAGGGGCACCCGTGTTGTCAGACTGCTGAGGCGGCGTGGGGATGACGGGTGGGCCTGGCGCTTTGCGCTGGGTGTACATCGTTCTGTTCTGGCATGTTCTGGCTGTGCCTCAGCACAGCCCCTGGCTGGAGCAAAAGCCACGTCGGTTAGGAAGGGACACCACAGCACCTCCCTGGCGCAGTCGCCATCTCATTTGTGATGGGAGCATTTACTGGCACTGACCTGCTGCGGACCTGGTTCTGCAACGCTTATTTGTTTGCCATGCAACTCCACGAGCTATGCTGGGGCTGTTTGAGGGCCCAGGGCTTGGCCATAGGAGTAGAATGAAGGGCTTTGCTTTCAGGGCCACGGCAACAGGCATGGTGCAAGAACCACACTAACGTCTAAGGTGAAGCTCATGAGTGCTTTTCTCTGGACAAGTCACTGGAGAACAGTTCATGTGAGATATCATGTAGTATCACTGTGGCCAACTTACCTGCTGCTGAGCCAAACCCCACAGAACCCCTGTGGGCTGGCAGGGTTTTGGTGGCCCCACAGCACCTCTAGTTACACTGCCTTACCCTCTTCTGAGAAGTGGTATGAACGTGAGACAGGCAAACGTGGCAGCAGTCGGTGTGTTAGGGGAGGTGAAATTACTGCGGTTCTGATTTACTGAAGCTTTATCTGAGGTGAAGGCAGAGCGCGTGAGACAGGCAAACGTGGCAGCAGTCGGTGTGAAATTACTGCGCTTCTGATTTACTGAAGCTTTATCTGAGGTGAAAGCAGAGCACCAAATAGCTGAAGCAGAAGGTAAGTGCCAGCCATGCCACTTCTGCTGATCTGGGGTGGGACTGTTGAAGTGTGAACACCAGTGGTTTTGTAACTACTTGCAGCCCTTCTCCCTCAGGAATTGGCTCGCTCCGTCTTTTCCCTCCCGTCTTTAAAACAGGGCGGACCCTGGGTTACGGTGCGCTCGCTGGAGATAAAAACTGTACCAATTTGAGTAGAGACAAACAACAAAAGGGGGACGGTTTGGAGGGGGGCTGAAAATGTCTGACTGCCTCTGGTTTCTCTCTTAGGTGCTATCAGCTGCTGCAGCTGCCGGTGTGTCTGTAGCTTTTGGCGCGCCCATCGGAGGAGTGCTCTTTAGTCTGGAAGAGGTAACATCAGCATTTTCTATTAGCTCTTGGCGAGCCGTTTTATTGCAAGGACTGACCCTGCTGGTTTAAAAATGCAGCCCGCTCGTAACTGCTTGGGTGTGGAAAGGAGACCCTGTTGAATACTGATTGCTGGTGTATTTACAAGGCCAAGCAACCTAAAAGCTTATTGGGGTTTCAGGTAATTCTCACAAATACTGGGTAGTTTATTTTGGATGATGTCTATCCGTAGCTTTGCAACAAACCTGTTGGATTCCCCCGGTCTGTCTGTGCTCAGCAACACTGACTGCTCACAGCCTCCGTAATGTTTTCCATACATCCCCTCCCTCCTGACAGCTCTGTCCCAGGGTACCTGGGAACAAACTTGTCTGGCTTCTCAAACCCCTTTTCTTCCCAAGGAAGTTCTAATCCTTGACCTTTTGATCCAGACGTTAAATGGATCACTGCTGCTTGCTTCAGAGCTCAGCTTGGAGGAGGAACGGGATGGTTTTGCTCAGCTGAGTGATAGTTGTGGTGGCAGCTATGGCAAACACTGTTGTTTGGCACTGCTGGACTTTGCAGAGCACGCAAGGCAAATCGTTCTCCAGGTTCAGCTCACAGCTGATTTGTAACAGCTTTTATTATCCCCGCAAGTCTCCTCTGCTTCAGGGATCACAGGGGGCACTTGCTGCACTGGAAGTACGCAGGGCAGGACCCGTCCTGGTCATTGCAATCCGCTTTGATCAGGAGCTCAAAATAAAGCCTGGGTGCTTGGCTAGAGAGGAGGGTGTATAGCCCGTGCACATCGATCTCAGATTTCTTTGACTTCATGCGGTGGTGATTTTGTTACCAGGCAGCGATCGGTGCAGTGACAAGCGTTAAAGTGTCTGAATCTGCTCTGGTTTTCCTTTTTTAGGTCAGTTACTACTTTCCCCTCAAGACACTGTGGCGCTCCTTCTTCGCTGCTCTGGTCGCTGCGTTTACCCTGCGCTCCATCAACCCGTTCGGGAACAGCCGCCTGGTTCTCTTCTACGTGGAGTTTCACATGCCGTGGCACCTTCTGGAGCTTGTGCCGTTCATCCTTTTGGGAATATTTGGAGGGCTTTGGGGAGCTTTCTTCATTCGCAGCAACATTGCCTGGTGCAGGCGACGCAAGACGACCAAGCTCGGTAAATACCCCGTGCTGGAGGTGTTTGTAGTGACTGCGATCACAGCCGTCCTGGCCTTCCCCAACGAGTACACCAGAATGAGCACCAGTGAGCTCATTTCTGAGCTCTTCAATGACTGTGGGATTTTGGACTCTTCCAAGCTCTGCGAGTATGTGAACGATTTCAACAGCACCAAAGGGGACGACCTGCCAGACCGAGCTGCTGGCCCAGGAGTTTACACGGCCATGTGGCAGCTGGCTTTGGCCCTCGTCATGAAAGTCTTCATCACAATCTTCACCTTTGGCATGAAGGTGAGAATTGCCTGTAGAGGAGCTCGTCGTCCTCTCATCCTCTGCAGGAACCCCACATCTAAGAGTTCGCTTTGCTCAATAAGCAGTCAGGTTTTCCTCCCCAGGCTCTGTTAAGAAGGGGGCAAGGGGATAGACTGCAGTTATTTGTTCTGTTGCTCATAACTGAGGGCAGCAGAGACACTTGAGCCCGAGGGTGGGTGTCAGTCACTAAAGCTGGTGTCTCAGGGCTTCGTGTCCTATTTTCCAAACACTGAATGCTTCCAAATTTTCCTGCCTCAAGCCTTTTTGGTATGTATGCAATATATATGCAGTAGCTAACTGCAAAGTAATCAATATCTTAAACGCTTACTTATCGTAGCGCTTCCTTGGTCAGATGGTTCTGAACTTGTCTGCTGGCAGCCCCCCGAGCTGTGGATGTCCTACCTAGGTCTGAGCTTCCCTCTG